AAAATGCATCTTTCTTGGAAACGGAATTTTGATATTAGATGAGCAACTGTTGCAAGAAAAAAACCGAAACTGATAGAAGGCTGCTGAAGTGCTTGGGAATACTGAAATGCTGATACTCCCTCTTGTGGTTGAACTGGAATAAGACAAGCCAAGGATACTTCATAAATGCTTAATTCATTGCTTTTCTGGATGAATATCTTGGGTAGTTTGATTAGTAATCTGATACTGAAAATGCTTGTGACTCATCAAAAATCTATTTCTCAAAGAAATACTTGTGTACTTCTAGAAAAGAAAATAAAAATAAGTTAACCACAATTTTATTTGTAACAAATGTATTTTCAACCAGCCTGCCTTCTCATTCTTGCTTTTATTTAGAGTTATTAGATATCAAGCTGTGTGTTTGCTCAGGAGTGATTGAGGGAATATGGCAAATTTGTGATCTGCCAGCTAGAACTGAAAGCCACCAGACAAATCACAAGACTAAAACCTGCATTAAATAAAATCAGTTTTCAATGCTTGCATGGACTATGGCTACTCTGATGCCTTGCGGGTCTGAGAGACTGGATCAATCTAGTGAATACTTGACACATTTATAGGAAATCTGGCATATGTATTGTATCAAAATTGTATCAAAAACTTACAGTGCTTGCTAAACTTATGAAAACAAGCATAGGAGAGTTAAACATAAAGAAAATGGCAATTTTCAGAGTCTCGGTTCTGGTTCCCAGCCAGAGCTGAGTCTAAGCCCAAGAGATTTTGTGTACGGAGAAGTTTTTTCTTCCCTGTTCCTCTGTGCACGGCAGTAAGAACTAGTGAAAAAGACTATGAACACACTGCAAGAGTAGAAGATGATAATTTTTCCTGTGTATTTCACAACAATCTGTGACCCAAACTGGAGCAGAGGGTCTCAGGATTCTTGAGTCTAAATTCTGTCACAGTAGCAGCATCACTAATCACTTGGCAAATCTAGTTTGAAGTGCATTACGGAACTGTGCATTGAGTTTGCTTCAGTTATGTGATGTAAAATAATTTCAGTAGAAATGCTGAGGTCAGAAAGAATAATTTCTATGGTGGGAAAAACCCCACAAACCAAAACCAAAACAAAGAATGTGTCAGATTTCTCATATTGAGTGTGTGAACTTAGAGAACCATGTCTGACCATTACTGATATGATGCTTCCATCACTGTCCAGTCCTGTGTAAATATAAAGGTTTATGATGCCCCAGTTTTCCAAACTGTAAGTAACCGTAAGTTGAGATTTTAAGGAATTTCACCAAGTAAAATCAAACTGCCATAAAGTTCATGTGCGGCACTAATTGTAATTTAACTGCGTGGTTATTACAAGAGCTTTTAATTAACCCAGTCATCATACTGTGGCATACAAATTGTGCATAATAGCAGCATGCTGAGTATAATGACAATAGGTTTTTCTGAACTGTGAAAATCAGGAGTTTTATAATTTTATGATGTTTCTTTTTATGTCCTTAAATGTTGTGGTGCATTTAAGAACATTTCACCAAAGGAAAAAAAAAATCCTAGTAAGTTGCTGAGACTTGTCTATTTTAAAATTTGGTAGCAGTCTTTAATTCTTCCTGAAATTCAGTGAGATGTGTAATTCTCTCCAGAATAGTATTTCTGGGGATTTTTCAGTCTCACTTTTCTCAGGGTATTTTTGATCCCTTTTGAGGATCATTTTACACACTCTTCAGTGATTTGGTTTCTGAAGCCAAAAAAACCCCGTTCAGTTTGTGGAAGCATTCAGAATGGATACCACTTTAGTGAAACTGTAAGATAGTAAGAACGCATTCTGGTCAGATATCGATGCAAAATGGTAATTCATTAGTTCATTCCCTTTCTCTTAAAGTTACAATTCCAGTCAGTGTCTCTCAAGATGAGCAATAACAGCACTGAATGAATTCCTACTTGTAAGAATTCATTACTTGCACCCAAGGACTAAAAATTAAGAAACAATGTAGCTAATGGATAGAGTTGTAATCCTTCAGAAAACACAGGAAATGCAATTAGATGGTGTTACACTTACCACATGTACTCATTCCCTGAGATATAAAATGCATTAAAAAAAAAAAAGCACACATAGGAACTGTAGTCCCCTGTTTTTTAGACTATCATCATCCCTGTACTGTGAAACAGGATGCTGAAATATTTGGGCTATAAATTATTTGGTTCACAGGTAGAACAAGCAAGATAAGACTGTATGACCTTTTCATGTGCACAAGTTTACTGAAGAAACCAGGTGATGATAAAGATTAGGCTAGTGTGGGAGACAAAAGTGAATTTGTCATGCACATACAGTTAATGGTTTAAACATGACATAGAAGTGACAGACACTACTGAACAGTTAAAAAACCCAGGTTGGGTTCAGCTGGGTGAGCCACAAATGCATGAGGTACCAAACACACAAAGAAGAACCAACACAGTCAGTCAGTCAGTGGTGCCTGAGGTTTGAACATCAGAGATATGAGGAAGGTAACAGAGAGGATGACATCACCATTGTACAGGCTGAAGTAGCACATTCTGAAGAAACTATGCCTGAATAAGTAAGTGACTCTGCTAAAGACTTGTAACTAACTTTGTGCTATTGCTGTCATTAACAGAACTGAGTTCTCAGCAGTATGATTACTGTCATGCATATCTTTGTGAGAATGGCAGAGGTGTATACGGTGCTCTGCACATGCTTTTTAGTAGAATTTTCAGGATTTTCAAACGCTGAGAAAGAAACCTTAAGTTCTTAAAAAGACATTTCAGATAATTACAGGCTTTTCATGTTGGTTTTTTTTTATATATATATATAAAGTTTACCCAAGATTATTTTTTAAGAAGGATTTTATATTTGAAACTAAGATTTGTATTTACATGTATCAGTGAATGCAAATTTCCTTACATTGTCATGAGACAGAGACTCCTTCCCATCTCAATCTGACTCTCACTCTCTGTTATTTTAGCCTTTATTTTTATTCTTGGTAAGACAGAGAGCAGTTAAAGTGTATGGCAAGCTGGAACTGAGCCAACTCAAACAATCAGCTTTGTTATAAAAGCTGATCATAAACATAAAGCTTTCTGTGTCACATCTGTGAGAATAAGAGAATATGGGAAAAGTGAGACAAGTAAAAGGACAAAAATATTTTGTGCCTCTGGTGTTTCTGCATTATATTGGTGTAGATTGGCTGATGGGATCAGCTGCTGCAGAGGCTGGCAGAGTGCAGCACTGAAGGAGAAAACTCGCATAAGGATGGATGAAGCCTAGAAAAAGTGTGGAGACTTAAAGGGGGGGAAAATGAGAGTCCAGTTAAGCTGGTGGAGTGTGCTATAATGTGCTCTGAAAAAGAGCTAATGGGGAAAATAGTGTGAGGGCGGTTGGAAATTGAATTTGAGCACAAGAACAAATGTAGTAAGATGCTACCCAAAGAGACACTGCTTCTGATAAGAAATGGTGAAAATAATACTTGAAGTGTTGTTTAAAGTGTACTCCCTTAAAGGACATTAGTCATATGTCCAGAGACAATTGTCTTGCAGGTAAATTCATGCACCTCATTTGAAGGGGATTCAAACTATAACTTGGCTGCCTGAGTTAAGACGTGAGCCACAGCCCAAAAAGTACTGTTCACTTTTGGCTTTAGTCTTGCTTTCAATATTCATGTGTAGCAATGATGCTGATTGTTCTTCTTTTCACTGGCTTAGGCAAATACATTCAATGTGTCTTACATTATCACCTCTTACACCATGCGTAACAACAAACTCATCAAAATTAGATGGGTTTATTCTATTTTAAATGTTAAATGCCTTTCTTAATTAATACTACAGCAATTCTTAGTTGGAAAGATGGTCCCTAGGACTTGCACTTCTCTCTTTATGTGTGATGATAACTTGAAAATGAGATTTATTTGCTTTCTCTGTTCCTACATGTGGGGATATAAAATGCAAAAGGAAACAATAATTCTTACTGTGTAATATACACACTCTTTCCTCCTTCTCATGGTAGCTTCAAAAATTGAACCCTGTCTTAGAGCCAACAGCAATCTCCTCTCTCCCTTTTTCCTTTAAAAAAGTTGACTACCTGTTGAAACCAAGTTTTCATAAATCACACACAGTGTTAGTTTTTCACCAGTGCCTGTGTGCTAACTTGCACAAAATACATGCTGTTTCGGTCTGCTTAATATCTTGTCTGATATGATTCCCAGCATGAACTACCTCTTACTTAATAAATATATATGGCCCTAATTATTTTTATTCAGTGCTTAGGTAGACTAATGAGCTATGAACACGATTTGATATCCTCGATTGTACAAAATGCTCAATATCACGCTTTACAAAGAAGAAGACGGGAGTTCATTTGAATTTGTATCTGTTGACATCCAGATCAGAAAGCCAGACATAAAATGCCTTGATATTTTCAACATCTATGGTCCGAATCATTAAACTTACATCTTGGATCATTAAATTAACATGTTGCAACGTTGTAATGCAAGTTTCCACTATGCTCGTTGTTCAGTATGTGCTCTGTGTAACTGTGCTGAACATGCCATAATAATTTATCAACCTCGAAAGAAATCAAGAAGTTCAATGCATATTAAAAATGTCATTGGGATATATCACAGAAAAAATGGAAATACGCTGCTGTTCACAACACATCATATTCTCTGAGGTTACTTTTACTGTCTGCATAGCAATACACTTCCCTTATGGAAATTAAAAAGGCACAATCAATAAAATACATGTAGTGACTTTCTTATACACCTAGTATTCCTTAAAAAGGAGTGCTTTCATTATTTTTTTCCAACTATAAAAAGACTAATTATGTGTTTGTTCATTCATTACAGATATAGGGTTGAGAAATATGATAATTAATTATGGTTTTCTTAGCTTAATGTCTACAGATCTTTCTTTCTTATTAAAATGGTTTTAAACGGAATTGAGATATACATAATAATTATTGTTTACTTGTGTTCATTCCTTCTTCTTGTGGCTTTCTTTCCATGTAGGTGAAAAAGATATGTGGTCCTCCTGTAAGGAAGCCTACGCAGTCTCCAGGTTGCTCCTTTGATCAGAACAAAGATAATCAAGGATTGAAGATGTTCTCAAGAGACAGTGAAGAAACACTCACCAATAGAAGAAAGTAAGACATTAGTTTTACAGCCAGAAAGAAAGTAAGCCCTTAATTTTACAACAGAATAGATTATATTCAATGCAATGGCATGCGTTACTAGAGAATAAAGACTCCAAAGAATGAAACATTTCAGCAACACTGTCTATTCTGTTACATTTTGGATTGAGTACTTTCATGACTAGATTCTGTTTTCTGAAATAATGGACATATGACCAGAGTCATATGGTGTGTTTTAAACTATTTGAGTGGATAACATTGGTAGGATATGAATGTTAATTCTATCTTTATGTGTAATTATTCAAATTACTTTCAACTTTGCGCATCAGCAGGCAATACTAAATCTGACAAAAACTGACTGTAGCTTTTTACAGAAGTCGATAATGCAGAAAAAATGACTTTTCTTACATACTTTTCTAGTGTAGAAAATGAGACAACTAAGCATCTGGGACTTAATCTTGAAAGTCCTGTTCAAGCAAGACCTGCTAATTTTTTTCTCTGGCTCTTTTGCCAGTATATAGCGAATTGAGGTGACTGCAAAGGCTTGGAGATTTCATTTAATGCAGCACTGCAGGGTGAAATTTGCCTAACTGCTTATGAGTTAGGTGTTTAAGCTGCTGTTGTAGTCTGTGGAAATGAGAACTCATTTCAGCTGCCCATGCATCTACAAGCATCCAATGCCACTCAAGGACACGCTGGGGTATCCCAACTGATCTGCTTCTGCCAGGAAGGATGCAGGTATCCTGTAAGTTGTTTCATATCTTTCAGCTTTCTGCAGGTATCCTGCATAGCTGAAAACATTTCAAAGGCCAGTCTATATTTAGACAAGTTAATCAAGTTTTTAATGACTGTAAGTAAGTAATAGCACGGTAAGACATAAGAATAGTGTTTCAGTGAGACTAAAGGCCTTATTTTATGCAAATAAAGTGCAAAGTTAAAATCAGAAATTTCAATTCTGTCACAGTGTTTGCTAAAATACAGAGAAGTTTTCTTTGTCCCCTTTCTCCTCTCATTTTCTTTTGCAGTGCAGAAAGAAATGGAAGTGAGAGAATTGCAGGGAATAATTGCTCACTCCTGATGTCTGGAGAAGAAAAGGTGCCTCTGAGTTTCAAAGGCAGACCATTCTTCTTAGTGTAACAACCTTCATGTAGCAAATAGTGGAGAAAAAACTCCAAACCAGAATATACATAGCACAAGTTTTGGAAAACATTATGGGAGCAGAAAGAGAAGTTTGCTTTAGCCAACACAGAAGTTCATTAGGAAATACCCATTATACGGTCTTGTGTTTCTCAGTTATACATAGCTAAACAAGTTCTTGATGTTTTCTGATCTCTAGCACTCTGCAAACATGAAACCATGTTCTAAAATATGACTTAAACCAAGACAGAACACTGGACTGGCTTTAAGGGAGATTGCCCGAGAGACCCTAAGGCGCAGGCGGGATAGTTGGCAACACAAAGGAATATTGTTTTCCCTTGATATCTGCCTGCCTTGAGATTATGGAGACCCTTTATGACATGCCATAGGCTTTGCACCAGAAAGGAGGAAGGGAAAGAAAGTTTGACATCCACTGACGCAGATTTCAGTTTAACAACTTCATAGTTGATATCATCTGCAGTTACTGCCTCCTGAATCACCTCCTTCCTTATTAGTCACAGTCACTTTATATTTCACTTTATATTCCCATGGCAACTGTAAGAACCTCACATGGAAGAGAGATTTCAGCAAATATGTGCAGCCTGCTTTTAAGGAAGTGCTCTTCTCTAACTCCACCTTATTTACTGCCTATGTACTTCTGGCAGCAGCTTACTCTCAACAACTTTCACAGGCTTTAGCAGCAAAGGGTTGGTTTCTCCAAACTGGAGACTTTATCAGTGACAGTTATCTGAGGGAAAACAAATGAATGAAAAAAATTTCATTCAATATGTGACTCCTGATTTCCTAATGTTTTTCAAATGCATGTCCAGATGAAAGTTTACATTTTTAAGTACATGGTGGACTGCCTCTGCCTGAACTTTTCCTGGATTATTTTTACCACTGGATTTAAGCTGGTATTTTCTGCTACTATGTGGTCCAAGAAGAAAAAGAAATTTCTCTGTGCTTTTCATGCCAAAAAATTGCTAGAGAAGTTTTAAATAAAGCTAAGCAGACCCTTCCATAGCAACATACAAACTTGAAAGTATGTAATGTTTTTTCCTCAGAACTTCATATTGCAGACAGCTTTTAGCACAGAGAGTGAGAAAAAAAAAAGGAAAAAACATTTAGAAATAAACAGATAAAAGGTGTCTTCAGCTTCCACTGACTGTAATTGCACATTTGTGCTCAGCTGCCTATAATTACATGCTATCTGGTCTCGAAGATGATGATGTGAAAATTGACATTCATACCATCCACCCTTCTAAATACTTTGGTCAGACATCAGTGGGGGCGGAAATCAGTTATTACTTCTCTATTAGCTTTAGCTTTGCCTCAGGTTGTATTTACTAATAAACTGAATGACCTTTCTGTTAACATGCAGTTTGTGACAAGGTATTATGCCACCTATATTTATTTATTTATATTTCTTCTTCAGAAGAAATTCCAACTATTCACTTTGTGAGGGCTCTAAACACCAGTTTTCATCCAGAATGTAAATGTAAATCATAGACAAAACCAAAATCAGTCTCATTCAATGGGAATTATAGGGAAATTGCAAACACATTGTGCACACTGGATTCAGTTTTGGGTGTGGAGAAATAAAAGATGTGACTATTCATGGCTAGGAGAGTGTGGATGAATCATATTTACATATTTAAAATCTATTGCACTATTGCACATAGGCAATTATATGATACCTACTCTAAATTAACAATACATAAGATTTTTCATATCTATAGTTTTACAATTATTAAAACACTGGCATCACATTTAATAGGTATAGCAAATCAAAATCACTGTGGTTTGTGTAAAATATTTGCTGTATTATATGGAAGAACATGTGGCTTTTTAAATTATGAACTGTATGTAATCACTGATGTTTTATCTGTTTTAATTTGAAGTAAACAACACTTAATTTAATTCCCTATACCATTTTAGGCCACATTGACCCAATATAGAGGAATACATAGATTATTTGTGGCATTTTTTCACAACTCCGGGTTCTGTACAAGAAGTAAACATAAAGTGAAGGTTGCTGGATTACAGAGCAATGAGTACAGCATTTGGTGGTGCTTTTCTATATGCCTGCAGGTCATAGATAACTCAGTAAAGTGTGATGTTCTACACCAAAATGAATAAATATTTCAATTTTTCACAGCAGGAAGGAGTGTCCCAGGAAGAAATTTTCAATACATAAGCAAACAATTTATATTAAATATCACAATTCAGTTAAGAACATACTAGCTAAAAAGTAATTAATTTGTTTTGAATTAAGTACAAAACCTTATCATTAGCTCTGGGCATCTTGACAATTATTTAAAATAACAATTCATAATTGATAAAGTACCAGCACAGCACATGGTGGAATTGATGTAATCTTTCAGAGCATTATTTAAATCTCCACTAAATATTTAGCACCTACATCTTAAACCCATCTTACCTACATTGTGAGTTGCTGCATAACTCTTAACAAATATTTGTCTCAGTATCTGTAAAGGGGTATAGTGGACTAGTTGATAGCCCTTTTGAAAAGAGGTAACTTATTCATATGCTCCTATTTTTTTCTTTGCTATGCTGCCTATTTTGGAACATTTTTTCATTTATTTGCCCAAGTATAACATTGCAAACAGTATCACAGCTATGCAAGAAAATTTCATGTTGAAGGAAAATAGTTCCTGTTCCAGAGCATGAGTAAAGCAGGTATTTTTTTTTATTTTATTTGACCAGTAGGAATATCAACTTTGTAAACTATGAAAGTGTATCTGAAAGAATTAAACTTTTCTAACAGGAAATTGACAAATTGATTTAAAATATCGCTGGAACCAGTGGAGAGTAATGGAATAAGCACATTCCGTATTTTCCTGTATAAATGCACAACAGCTTAATGTTGTTGATTGACACTGCCTATTATTTCTCGTGTTCCCCTGTGCAGGGAATTTATCAGCCACCTGCGGCTCTACAGAGCCTTTTACGGTGGCCTGGCTGATCACCTGTGCAGTAACGAGTTGGCAGCTGCAGATGGACTCCCGTGTTGGAATGGAGAAGATGTCATAAAAAGGTACCTTTCTGACTCCTGTCATTTTTTTTGTTTTGTTTTGTAAGTCATGCTTCTCTGAAATAGCTTCCATTTGAGTCAAGTTGTTTCCCTGTGCCAGTGTCAAGATTATTTCGAAAAATAAATCAGCATGGGTTTCCTTCTCTCAGGCTTCGCCTGTAAACAGTAAACAGTACACAAAATGTCCCTGTATCTGTGTTTGAAGGAAAAAAACAACAAAAAAAAAAGAATTCTACTGTTCTTCAGAAATTTTCCCTTCAGATTTACATCACCTAAATATGCACTGGGAAAGAATCTGGATTGGCATTTACAAAATACAGTTAGAGAAAAACGACATGGATTTTTGTTTCATCTTGGTCTTTTTAGAATACTCCTTTTAATGCAGAGCGTGTGATAACAGACTCAAGCTTAAGACTTTTTCTGGAAGAGAAAAAGAACGAAGTAATCTCTTAATATATATTGTTTCTCAAGAGAGAGCTAAAAGATGAAGACACATTTTAAAGGTGAAACACAGGTATTTTTTTATGTATGTGGCAGCTTGGAAGATATCACTCAGCAGCAGTGATAAAGAGATAATAAACTGCTGTGCTCCTGGATGTATATCTCTGAAATCACAGCTTACAAAATACTAGCATTTCTGGATGGCAGAAAAACTTTCAGAGAGCTGATGTCTATGTTTTTGCTTTATTGCTTTGATCACCAAAACAAATATTTCTCTGAGTGGGAAGTTGTTGTGATGACAGAGACCAAAATATTGAAAGGTTTATTGCAATTATTTTTATTAAAAATCATTATGGTAATGTGGCGTTAGTGGTATTAGTAGGTAGTATCAAAGATCATATCAAAGAAGGTGGCTAAAGGCTGTGAGGTGAGTCAGTAGCATGAGATAGCAGGTACGAAGTAGAAGTAACAGTGGACAGCCTGCACCTTTAGGTATCTCTAAAAAAGTTAGGTAGGAACTGTCATTTATTTATTGATATCTAAGGAAATGGACATCCTTTCAGCAAACAGCTACAGGCCTGCTTTTCTTTATCTTCTTGGGCAGTGCGGTGCTTCAGCAGCACCAAGGTCCAGTGAGCATTTGACCCCCTTGATAGTCTCATTGGCAACCTTGGTCCAAAGATTTCAGCAATTATTGGATCCATTTAAAAATATAATGGAGGACAAAAGCAATCTATCTTAAAAGTAAGGCCACTTTGGTATAAGTTTAATTTATAAGTTTCCTTACAAAAATATTTTGTCTTCATATATACATATATATATATATATAAAAATGTATCTATATTTATATTTTTGGTCAGTAAATGTTAGTGTTAGCTTCCTAAAGATCTGAGATGTAGATAATACTTAGAAGTAAAGAATGATGATTAAAACCAGAAGAGCAGGATAATCTGACACCTGCAGATTATTTCACACATCTCAATACCTCTGCTTGTACACTAAACACTTGGCTATGGAAAGTCAAACTCAGGGTGAGAAACACAGTCCAACAAATTCTACAAACTTGGAAACAAGGAAGTTGTGTTTGAGCCAAAAAGGCTCGTGATCTGCCCCACAGATTGTGAAATGACATTTGTAATTGATTGATTGTATCACTCAACGAGCTAAGAGGTCTAATGAGCGATGACCAACATCAGAGGTGGTTGTGGTTGGGGATATTGTGAAGGAAAATGAAGATACCAGGCTTTAGGAATGTGTGGCATACTCCTAGAGTATTCCCAGATGTAGTACAATCAATCAAGAAATTCATCTTACAAAAAAAAAAAAAAAGGAGTCAAAGAATTATATTTGTTTAACCTGGAAAGGAAAATATGTTAGGTGGAAACAGGCTGTTGCTAGCAGAAAGAGGAATGTCTATTATCTGCTTTCATAATGGCTAGGACACATAGCGAACATTTTAAATATACTCTCTTTAAACATTAGGGAGAGTTTTCTAGTGACAAGGACAGTAAGGGTAAAAAATAAATAATTTTGTTGTCCAGCATCTGCCTGAAGAACAGGCAAGGCACTGAAAAATGATGCAACAAAAGCTGATTTTTCTTAGAGACACAAATTGGATAACCTCTTAAAATCTCCTCTAGCCCTATGATTCTGAATCTAGGATTATCTAAATCCTGTGTTGCTCAACTTCTATTGCCATCATCCCAGGATACCACGACATTTTAGAGGCAATAATGACCTGAGCAGGCTTCATCACTTTTCTCTCTAAGTACTGAAGAACACCTCAACCTGCACACTCAGTCTCTTTTCTTCTTTTTTTCTCCCCTCACCCTGCCTTTCCACTAGTATAATAATAAATAAAGATATTGGTGAACTCATCTGTGCAGTGTTTCTGACACTGAAAGGGGAAAGCCTGTATTGTTCAAATAAATCAAAGATAAATAGAGCTTATCTGTTTTGAGATTCTTCATCCTTTCCCATCCATTTTTGCCTTCTTTTTAAAAAAATGTGTCATAGCTGTTGATGACTGCAAGTTTGGGCCTGACATGAGAAAATATCATAAACTACATAATGCTGGTGTATCAGGACCTGAAGAAATTGCTAAGACTGCTTGCTGTATCTGTGTTGCAAGCTTCAAGTAGCAAAAGCCCCAGAGACAGGAGACAGATATATTTTTAAAAGATCTTTGCAGTTCTTTATTTTCCTTTTCTGTTCATTTTTCTAAAGGAAGCAGTTCAAGGTTTTTAACAGCTATAATATTGTATATCAGATAAATCTTATGACCTTTGCCTTCTCTAATACTATCTAAGAGATTATCAAGTGTGGATGGGAAAAGGTCAGGAAAAAAGGGTATTATTGAAATAAAAGCTTACTTAACGGTTTACATTTCATACGCTTCAGCTGTTTCCTTTCTCGCTTAAGCCTTTAGTTTTTTCCAAATCACAATGACATGGAAATATGGCCCTTGATTATGCACTAGAAATTGTTCTGGATCTGGCCTGTCACACAGTACAGGCTCATGCTTTTATCAAAACCTGAGACCGGAATCCCCACATTCCTGTATCCCTGCCTGACAAGATTAGTAGCGGGCAAGACCACACGCATGAGGTCCACATCACTGCAGCATGAGGGAGAAGACATCTCAGCAGAGTCTTGAGCCCTTCCACTGTTTTATCCAATTGTGTGACTACAGTGGTTGGGCATGAAACTTCACTTTTAAAGGCATAAGCTTAGTGTCTGTGGTGGGTTGACCTTGGCTGGATGCCAAGCTCCTCTATAACTCCCTTTCCCAGCCGGATAGGGGAGAGAAAATAAGCTGGAAAAGTGACTCATATGTTGAGATAAGGCAGTTTACTAAAGCAAAAAGGAAAGTTTGTACGCACACAAGCGAAGAGGAAAATAACAAGGTTTATTCTCTACTTCCCATTAGTGAGTGGTGTTCAGCAACTTCCTGAGAAGCAGGGCTGCAGCACACATAGTAGTTTTCCAGCAGGCAGACATTGTAAACAGCAAATGTCCCCCAGCTTCCTGCTCCTTTCCTCAGCTTTTATATCCGAGCTGACATCATATGGTCTGGAGTATCCCTTTGGTTAGTTTGGGTCAGCTGGCCCAGGATCTTGCCCTCGACTCGGGGGTGGGGAGGAATGTTGAGAGACAGTGCTGATGCTTTGCCAGCACTGCTCAGCAGTAGCCAAAACACTGGTGTGTTATCAACACCTTTCCAGCTACCAATGCAAAGCACAGCACTGTGAGGGTTGCTATGGGGAAATGAACTCCATCTCAGCCAGACCCAATACAGTGTCCTGGTGAAGTACCTGGAATTTAAGTGTTATGGGATTCCTTAGTTTCAATGGAAAAAGAGGAATTGCAATTAACAAGTTAAGCACTAACAAAGCATACGAGAAGAATTTCGTGCATCACTTTGGAATTTTGGTGGCACCTTAGCATTAAAACTAAAATAATGAGTGCAAATACACTGAGGTAGAGAGCTTTCATGGTCCAGAGAGACTGGCTACAATGTGGAGAGAGATGGATTAAAAATCTACAGAGGAGAGAAGAATATGTACTGTACATCTTGAGACCAGTGATCCAAGTGAAGCAAAAATAGATGTGAGGAAAAAAAAAATGAAATTATGTGTATTGAAGGATTCAAGTCTAATGGAGATTATTAAAAACAGCTAATCAAGTTTTGAAGGAAGAGTTTCATATGAAATGCATATCTGAAGTATCCAAATTAAGAGAAATTAAACAGCATGATTGATTTTAATTGCTGAGCAAATCGTTAGAAAGTAATTATAATAAGCATCTATCATCAAATAAATGCTTAGTTTTAGCACAGCTCTTAGGCCGGGGAAAGGAATTTTCTCTTTTGATTCTTAAATATTCTGAAACACGAGTACAATCCTGATTCTGTTCTTATTCAACAAAAGAAGATAAACACTGATATAAGGGGATCTAATGAATTGCTTTTAATTTTCTTTAATTTGAGCTAGTCATCACTTTATAATAAGGGAGAATGTAAACTGCCATCAAAGGAGGCACCACTTGACACCAATGTGAAAGATTTGCCTGAGCAACTTAAAATCCAGGAATAACCCATTATGGCTCTTACTGCTTTGCTTAATATGCTGTTGCTAACAAGGACCAGAAACAGATGCATAGAGAAAAAACAACTGTGAATTTCTGCTCCCTCAAAAAGCTTAACACCAGTAGCATTCCACAACAAGGGAACCAGAATTTTTCAGGTACCACAGCACTGAGTCAACTTAAGAAAAAAAGGTCGATAAAGATATTCACAGGCTAAATGTTTTGTAAAGACAATAAAAATTGAATAAATTTTAAAATCCATATGCCTGAATTCTGAAGTACTTTTGTTTTGAATTCCTGCTGCCCCTTTAGGGATGCTTGTAAGTGAAGGCACCAGTATATGACACTGGGGCTGCAATAAAAATCAGGTCATCTGGTCTATAAGAAGATAGGGCTCCAAAGGTCCACCCTGAATTCAGGAGGATTTTTTCATTACATTTCATGCATTTTCATTTGAAAAATTGCTGACATCAAGA